CAAAGTGCCTCATCAACATTGTTATTCATGGCATGCTGCTTCCATTACCTACGCTAAAACCTGATTTGAATTTCTGGATGATGCGGTGATTGCCTACAAGTTCCAGGGGAGGAAGGAGCCACGCCCTTCATAAATAACTAACAGTCTCAAAAGTTTCTTAAGTGTATTAATTATCGAGCTATTAACCACAAGACAGCACGCCCAATGTGTCATTATTATCTTGCTATTAGTCCTACTTGAATATCGTTTGTCTTCGGAAATGTGGTTTGTGCTCGTTGCTTCTCGTAATGCTAAGGCCGGTACTATAAAGATATATTAGAAGATGGAGGTGAGCCCTGCGGTACTCCTTACAGCTCCGAGTCTGTACTGAATGCTCTTTCGCCTGGCAGAACCAGTGATTTGATTTTAAAAGGCACTAGCCTAAGATAACGGTAAGGTACAAATGACATCATTTACAATAGACAAAAAATAATGGCAAGCACATTCATCACCCCAATTATGTGTTTTAATTTTTAGGCAACGTTACTAATTACCACAGCAACTATAGTGATGTAGCACTTGCAGCTAGGATTTAAAGACCACCTGTGTTCAATTTACTGTTTTTTCTCCTCCCAACCTGGCCTGGGACGAGGCTCCATCGCTCCAAATGTGCACACTGACCCTTGTCTCCCTGGTCAGTGTGCACATTGTGCACACAAATAATTCTAATCTGGCAATTCTTCCTTCACAAACTTGACACGCCTGCTATGATCAGAAAAAGATACCAGACTAGATAATAATGAGCAGACTATACACACCTGGACTGCCAGGAAAGCCTTAGACACAGTATCCATGTAGAGAAACAGGCAGGAACGACAGGAAATGTGTTCCAGTGGATAAGAGAGTACCTAAGAGATAGAAGACATGAAGTCATCCTAATAGCGGAGACGTTACCAGAAGAGTCCCCGCCACAAGAGGCAAGTACTATATAAACACACACATCCAAATGATCCACAAAGACCAAAAACCAATTATTTTTGGAAGTAAAGAAATTCACTTCACTAAAGAAGTGAAGTGGAGAAGGCAGACTCCACATACAACTTTAAAAGATATGACGGAGCACAAAACTATTCGAGAATTAGTCTTGGGTATTTACAAGCACACAGCTAGGAGAGTGCTGGTCAATTTCAAGCATAAGTCATAGGTTTCAAGCACTGTAGCCTATCTTGAGGTTATCTTGAGATGATTTCGGGGCTTTTAGTGTCCCCGCGGCCCGGTCCTCGACCAGGCCTCCACCCCCAGGAAGCAGCCCGTGACAGCTGGCTAACACCCAGGTACCTATTTACTGCTAGGTAACAGGGGCATAGGGTGAAAGAAACTCTGCCCATTGTTTCTCGCCGGCGCCTGGGATCGAACCCAGGACCACAGGATCACAAGTCCAGCGTGCTGTCCGCTCGGCCGACCGGCTCCCTGTCAAGCTCTCCTAAGCCTAAGCTCTCGACTCACAACCAAGGGACCTCAATTTAATCCGCAAACAGGATAGAAACAACTGTGTAAAGTTTCATTTCATCTGATTCATCTGTTCATCCAGCAATAAAATTGGTACCCGGGATTTTGGCAATTGTTGTGGGTTGCATCCTGGGGCAGTGGTTCCTACCCTTTTTGTGTCATTTACCCTTTTCCAACCACCTTCTCACATGTGGATTCACCCTACCACTACGTTCTCTCCTGTGGACCCCTACAAAAATAGATCGAACAACAAAAATTGCAACCTAAACTCAGGGGGATACTCAGGGTAAACTCAGGGATACTCAGGGATAAACTCAGGGATATGTACACATTCGTGGTAATCACTTAAAAACGTACTACGTAAGTAACGTGTTTATGTACTTTCTATCCTTAGCTAGGCTAGGCTAAGCCTAGCCTTACAACCTCAGACATGTGAAACGTAGTTGACCCAGTTACAGCACCGCTCCTGTGCCAGTTAAGTCCACTGCGGGCTCACCATAACCCGTGCTGCTTGGAACCTTTTGTTCCGAGTAGCCAAATCTAAAACAACAATAACATCGTCTATATGATTTATGATGCGACTGTGAGATCGACCGCTGCATGGAATGAACAGCTGAACATTGCCGGGAGACGGAAGGAATAATCTCCAACAACCTAAGCATCTAACCTACGCCTAATTATATATATAACTTAATATATACAAATATGAATTTATGTACAAGAACAAATCTATTTTAATGCATAATACGTTAAACCTGATGAATGCGTCTTGGGGGGGGGGGAAGAATGCATCTTGGGGGGAATGCGTCTTGGGGGGGGTGTGTGTGTATGTGAATGCGTCTTGGGGGGGAAGAATGCGTCTTGGGGGGGAAGAATACGTCTTGGGGGGAAGAATACGTCTTAGGGGGGAAGAATACGTCTTGGGGGGGAAGAATACGTCTTGGGGGGGAAGAATACGTCTTGGGGGGGAAGAATACGTCTTGGGGGGGAAGAATACGTCTTGGGGGGGAAAAATACGTCTTGGGGGGGGGAAGAATACGTCTTGGGGGGGAAGAATACGTCTTGGGGGGGAAGAATACGTCTTGGGGGGAAGAATGCGTCTTGGGTGGTATGAATGCGTCTTGGGGGGTATGAATGCGTCTTGGGGGGTATGAATGCGTCTTGGGGGGTATGAATGTGTCTTGGGGGGAGGGGGGGGGGGGCGGGATGAATGACCGGCGATCTAACGAGCCTAGCCTGAGAACATTTGTGTAAACACGCCCTAAACCAACGTTGCCCAAACAGCTTGCCCAACCTTACATAGGCCCATGCATAACCCCACAACATATAATATTAATTGTTATGATAATTTTTATTATAGCGTGGGTTAAAATTTCATAATCAGTTGACTGCCTTCTTCTTGAGGTTATCTTGAGATGATTTCGGGGCTTTAGTGTCCCCCCGGCCCGGTCCTCGACCAGGCCTCCACCCCCAGGAAGCAGCCCGTGACAGCTGACTAACACCCAGGTACCTAATTTACTGCTAGGTAACAGGGGCATAGGGTGAAAGAAACTCTGCCCATTGTCCCTCGCCGGCGCCTGGGATCGAACCCAGGACCACAGGATCACAAGTCCCGCGTGCTGTCCGCCTATTGACAAATACTGACTAATTAGTATTATTGGAAGACATTTCTTGATTTATTGCTTGTCAGGAGTATGTTCTGGCTCCTATGTTTATATCACATTTATTTATTTATTTATTTATTTATATACAAGAAGGTACATTGGGTTTGTGAGAATACATAGCATAGTATTTACAATCTTGTAATGCCACTAGTACGCGCAGCGTTTCGGGCAGAATTTCTCGTAATTTGCCACCAGAAACCGCAAAATTAAGGTTTCCAACTGAACTAGGACACCCATTGCTTCGCAAGCCTATAGTAGACTATAATATATAGCTCTATCTGGTGCTTAGTTTCCACCTGTACCTTTGACACCCACTTCTCCGGGGACCCCAAGGAGAGTGTATACGCTTGGGAGTTCCCTGACGGAAGCACCCCCCGCTCCTGTGCCAGGTAAGTTACGGGCTCACCATAGCCCGTGCTACTTGCCCCGCTCCTGTGCCAGGTAAGTCCACTACGGGCTCACCATAGCCCGTGCTACTTGCCCCGCTCCTGTGCCAGGTAAGTCCACTAAGGGCTCACCATAGCCCGTGCTACTTGCCCCGCTCCTGTGCCAGGTAAGTTACGGGCTCACCATAGCCCGTGCTACTTGCCCCGCTCCTGTGCCAGGTAAGTCCACTACGGGCTCACCATAGCCCGTGCTACTTGCCCCGCTCCTGTGCCAGGTAAGTCCACTACGGGCTCACCATAGCCCGTGCTACTTGCCCCGCTCCTGTGCCAGGTAAGTCCACTACGGGCTCACCATAGCCCGTGCTACTTGCCCCGCTCCTGTGCCAGGTAAGTTACGGGCTCACCATAGCCCGTGCTACTTGCCCCGCTCCTGTGCCAGGTAAGTTACGGGCTCACCATAGCCCGTGCTACTTGCCCCGTTCCTGTGCCAGGTAAGTTACGGGCTCACCATAGCCCGTGCTACTTGCCCCGTTCCTGTGCCAGGTAAGTTACGGGCTCACCATAGCCCGTGCTACTTGCCCCGTTCCTGTGCCAGGTAAGTTACGGGCTCACCATAGCCCGTGCTACTTGCCCCGCTCCTGTGCCAGGTAAGTTACGGGCTCACCATAGCCCGTGCTACTTGCCCCGCTCCTGTGCCAGGTAAGTTACGGGCTCACCATAGCCCGTGCTACTTGGAACTTGTTCCGAGTAGCTGAATCTATAACAACAACAACAACCTGACGGAAGGCTGATACTCGGGTGAATAAGATAGAGCCATAAAGCTTTGAGTTTTATCCTAAAAGGGACATCAGGGACAAGGGACATTTAGGGAGCCGGTCGGCCGAGCGGACAGCACACTGGACTTGTGATCCTGTGGTCCCGGGTTCGATCTCGGGCGCCGGCGAGAAACAATGAGCAGAGTTTCTTTCACCCTATGCCCTTGTTACCTAGCAGTAAAATAGGTACCTGGGTGTTAAGTCAGCTGTCACGGGCTGCTTCCTGGGGGTGGAGGCCTGGTCGAGGACCGGGCCGCGGGGACACTAAAGCCCCGAAATCATCTCAAGATAACCTCAAGAGGGGGACAGGGACGTTATAGGGACGTCGTGGCCCTTAAATCAACAATACGGTCTAGCCTGGCCTCAGGCCGGGCTTGGGGAGTACAAGAACTCCCAGAACCCCATCAAGTAGGTATCAATATCTGTGTTCCCTTGTTTATTTACCACCCATGATGCTAAATAGTCTCCCCATGTCTTTCTGATATATGTCCCTGGAATCTGGTATATTTTCCTGGAATTTGGTATATTTTCCTGGAATTTAGTAGGGTGTAATTGTGTATTCCCCCCCCCCCCACTGTTTCTCTCACCTCTCAGATGTTGAAACTGTTGTCTGTGCCTAACACCACATACCAAACAAAATGTCTTACCTGCGGCTTCTGTGTATGCTCAGAGGATCTTCCGACGTGCTGTAAATAATCCAGAGAATCTCCCAGGGTCCTTAAAGAGCGAGAAGACACCGTAACACACCTTCACCTTGCACTGCTGAGGAGAAGACTGGTATGTAAACAAACCCCAATCCCGTTTTCTCTCGATTTGTTACCCAGTTGGAATTGAGACTAATTTTTACTAATTGATGAAGATTAAGCCACCCAAAAAAGGTGGCACGGGCATGAATAGCCCGTAATTAGTGGTTCTTTTGAGCCATTATCAGTGTCAGTAGATGATACTGGAGAACTGTGGAGGTGCGACTCCACATCCCGTTCTCTCTCGATTTGTTACGCCAATGGAATTGAGACTAATTTTTACTGATTGATTAAGATTAAGCCACCCAAAAGGTGGCACGGGCATGAATAGCCCATAAGTAGTGGCCTTTTTGAGCCATTACCAGTATTAATAGATGATACTGGAAATCTGTAGAGGTGCGACTGCACCCTGCGTGACGGGAGATGTCTCCCGTGACTTATTTTTACTGAACATGAAATATATATATATGTATAAACCCAAGCACTTCACTTGAGCTATCAAGGCCCATACGCAGAAAACTTCACTATTAAGGCACTTTAACGTAATATTAGCAGCTCGCCTTTTTAACCATTTGGTTGATTCAGTTTAAAATGCAACCTAATAGAGAGAGAATAATCTATTTTCAACCCTACTTCAAAATCTTCGATTCAACACACAATTAGTGTTTTATTTATTGTTGGAAACACTTCAAAAATTGCAGAAAGCATATATATTTTTGACAGCCTATCGAACATAGGTAAAATGTTTGTTGATCCGAACCTGTTTATTGATGAAAAACACTACACACGACTCACGAACTAAAATACTGTATCTTAATAATAATCTATTATAATTTTATGTACAGTTAGTCACTAGCATATTGTGCCAACTGGGGCTTGTCTAAACTCGTCCCACAATTAAGTAATTATCAAAAGCCTACAGTGGCAAGTCATTATATTTAATCTAATTAAACCTGTGTGCCACAGTCAAGCTATAATGATATCATGACAACTTGCGGCTCAGTTCTAGCTAGATATCATTTACATGGGAGTGGAGCATTCCTGGAGAGTTCTTCTACTCCCCGAGCCCGGCCAGAGACCAGGATTGAATTAATTAACTAATTACCAGTTGAAGTAACCTAAGAAAAGATGTCTTATGCTCGAGTTATTGAGAGCATGTTTGGCTAGGTCAGGAGCAAGCTAGGTAACTTACAATTCAACTTGATAGCTCAACACAAACAAATATCTTGTAGCTACTTGGAACAAAAAGTTCCAAGCAGCATGGGCTATGGTGAGCCCGTAGTGGATTTACCTGGCACAGGAGCGGGCTGTATATGAGCTAGACAGACAGTATATACTTTGTCTAACATGCAAAACACTCCTAACATTATAAATGTTGGCTGGAAATTACTTGATAAATTTAGTCTATATTTAATAGTATATATAGCATAATTTGTTCTTTTTAATTAAACACCAAACAGTGAAGACAACAGTTTGTCTGGATGAAAATATGCCATTTTTTAAGGTATATATATACTTATTAAAGTCACATACGAATAAAGAGTTTGTCTTGCGCATCACTGATTGAATGAAGATTAAGCCACCCAAAAGGTGGCACAGGCATGAATAACCCGAAATTGGGCCTCACATAAGGTCTCATAAGATGCAAGCAGCTTCGTAACTATTTAAGATTTACTGGAGCACTGTATATATAACCACTTTAAATATAGATCAGATTAACATCTAAAGATCATCATACATGTAGCAAGTTGAAATTCTTAAAATTAATAAAAAAAAATGACACGATTGGCTTTATAATACTGAATAATTATTGTATTCATGTATAGTCTTTGTCTAACATTCAGAATGGTGATAGTTAAATTTACTGTTTTATTGTTCCTTTGATTTTTTATTTCAATAATATTCACAGCACAGAGTATTTTAATAAACGATAGTTTCTGACGAGGTACACAGGTGCATGCTAAAGAAGCATCATTAACCAATACATGCAAGGTGGGTATAATCAGGGGTAGGCACCAAGTCATTATGACCATAGAGTACCTGGAAGGGACGAGATTAAGGATTTGGAATAGGACAGAATAAAGGAATGGTGCTCAACCACTCGAACAGTCGGGGATTGAAAGCCAACCTGTACAAAATGAGACACTTGCTTTACCATCCAGTTCAATCGCTACTAAATGTAAGACCAGGGCTGGCTCTTGCCACTCTTCATGGTTATTTACGTTATACTGTACTTATCAGCACAATCGGTTCACAAGCACATGGTCCTGGATTCGATTCCCAGGCAATGCAAGATGTTTGGAAATGTTTCCTTACTGTATCAGGAAATAGGTAACTGGGAGTTAGGCGACTGTTATGGGTTGCATTCGTATGAAGCTTAGCCACTGGCTAATTGATACTTCAATAAGCATAATACTGTTTAACAGACTTACTGTACCCAACAATGGATAACTTTACAGTACTTATTTTTATATTCTAAAGCAAACTTTTCCATGGCATCTTAAGTCATGAAATAATGAAGAAAGAATCTTCATTTAAAAAATAGCATAATGACTTTATTTACATTAATATACATTATTGCAAAGAAATGCCTAAAATATTTTTTGCATGTAAAAGCATTCAAGAAGTTTCAGGCAATGCTTTACATAACCCAAGAAACATTAATATCTAAAACTTGTTGGTTTAATGTACTATGCATCTCGACTGATTCATATTGACTTATCCCTGAGCTCAGAGTACAACAAACAACCACCAATATAAATAAATAAATTACCTCTTTTTTGACTTCATTAACATTTTATGAAATACTGTACATTACTGATTTTCCTTATTATACAACTTTCAATGAACTCACTAATTAAGACTGCCGTTAATGATGCACTGTGCCAAAAACAGCATCTAAGTACTTGCACATTATGTGTAGCAGACCTTAAGAACAGTAGACAGTCACCATCAAAGAATTAAATATTGTACTGATTTGACCATTAATCAATTTTCTGGAAATAACTTGAGTAATAGAAATATACATGCAAAAAGTGAAAATACAATATAGTGGAAAATAGTAGTTTAGAAATAATGAGAGACTTGCATCATCAGTTTAGAGCAAGGAAAAAAAATAGATTTAGGGACTTAGATATTAAGGTGAATAAATTTTTTTTAACAAAAACGACTTTTACATTAAATCATTTTATTGTCATATTTTACACTGATTATCTATTCAACGTATCACAGCTCACGAGTTGGAGAAGAGATGGTGGCAGAAGCTAGTTCCGGGGACCGGCTAAGCAAGTGGCATTTACCTAGTATTAACAGTGTCTGCTTGTCTGGATCTATAATAGTCTTTTAAAATTCAGTATAGGAGCACCCTAGACTAGACGACACTGCCTCCTAACAGTGGCTTCGGCCATATTTTAAATAGTAGAGGCGAGATACTGACCTGGATGGCAGTATTTACCATAAAGTAAAGAGAGGCACCAACGGGAGGGTCATGAAGCCCCAGTAAAGTGTGTGAGGCACTGCCTGGCCCAGAGAGGTACCTGCTAACAGCCGGTGGAGGCCCCGGAACTGCTGCCAGTGAAGTATGTAATAGGAAACATATCAGTGTTTCTCTTCCACTAAGCGAAGAAAAGGCCCGTTGGAAATGACTCTCAAAGACTCTTCTACATCTAGAAGCTTTGGCTTTTCATTAAGAAAACGTACATATAAATATATTTATTTACAACAATATACATCCAAATATTCCTTTATACATGTACACACTCCTCTGACCGAAAAAGGCACTTCCTCTAATAGCCATCCAAGTTTATTGGTGTGATTCTGAAGCGAAGTTTAGAGCATTGTGGCACTGAGGCTTAACTGAATAACAAATAACTAAACACTCGACTCTGGAATGTACCACACTCAACAAAAGAACATTTCTTACATATATAAATCACAAAGGCTTCAACACCAGTTTCACAGAACTAAAACAGTTCTGTGGCACAAACAAATGAGACCAATAAATAAAAAGTACATCGACTAGTTATCGTAGCTGCTAGCTTTGACGTCCATTCTTGTCACTAACACAACTGTAGGAGAATGCTTTGGTAGCAGTCTTTCTATTTCCCTGCTGTAAATGCACTCAAGGTTCACTTATAATGGCAATTAAGATTCACTAAAGTTTTGAACATAAAATGCAATAATAAAAAAATGGCCTTGCACCATCAAGGATTTCACCAGCTGTTGATATCAACCACACACATGGTGACTGTTCTAAAGTCACAAGCTGGTAAGAACGAGTGAAAAAACAAGTCTAGAAGACACTTGCTAATTTCTCAAGTCTGGTATTCGTATCCTTCACAGGGATAGTCAAAAAACGTAGGCGGCAGCTCACTAACACTCACTAAACTGCTGGGGTCTGTACTGACTGGGGCGAGACACCACAAGATGGGCAGGGTAGCCATTGGTGGCTGGGGTTGCCTGAGACACTACAAGACCACGTCCACTGCCCTCGTGTATCACTGGTAGACTTTGAGGAGCCTGTGGATTCGAAGGCGATGTCAAACGACACACAACCTGCTCACCATTTAAAACTGCTACGGTCATTAAATTCTCCCTTGAGAATTGCTGTTGTGCTTGTTGCAGTTGCTCCAAATCACGACTCATCTGTGCAGCATTAAAATCCCGTAATCTTTCTTCACTGAGAGCAAATTGTTGATCTTGTGGACTCCTCGCAAAATGATGGCCTTGTGCATGATGGTATGGTAAAAGGGGTCGAGCGTCACCATAGCTACGAGATGACTGACGGCTCATGTCACTTGGGGTGCCACGCTTGACATCTTCATCCGAGAGGTCGGATACCTGCATTGTCTCTTGCCCTGTGGGAGCACCAACTACACCTCCAGACCGACCTACCCAACGTTCACGCTCAATTTCCTCATACACAGGGTCAGCTTCAGTCTCAATCTCCATGTATGTATGATTCCAAGGAGAATGAGAACGCGCCGTATTGCCATTGCCCCGAAGCATTGCAGCTACAGCGGGAGGAACAGCAGCTGGTGATATCTGTGTCGTATAGCTGTTTGGTACAGTGATGACCTTGTTGCCACCCTCCATGTTGGGGAATGTGAGACCACCATCTAATCCTCCTGCAGCATTTATGCTATTAAGTTTAGCAAGATAAGCATTCTTGAGGTCTGCTGTCAGAGAGTTGGAGTAGCGGTGGTGGTGGTTATTCCACCCAGCACGAGGAGAATCTTCCTGTTCAGAGCCACCATGACCAGAGTCACGAGAAAATGATTTGTATGAGGCATCCTCATCAACGTGATTAAGGGTGGCGTGATGAAGGTTGGTGGTGGTGGTTGTGGTGGTGGTGGTGGTGTGCGGGAGGGTGACCGTGTGGTGGCGAGGAAGTGACTGATGCAGAGTGCCGAGGGGTAGATGGCCCGTGACTCCCTGACGAAGGGAGCCCCCAGACCCCATCGTGGACGTGGCCCCGGACAGAAGGGGGCCCACAGGTGGGTGTGTGGTGTCCCCGGACCCCTTCACTCCGCCGAGTTGACACAGCGTTGGAAGATACTGAAAGACAGATTTTAAAAAATTAGGGGATGTGGTATATGCGATAATACTGTATATTCAAGCAAATAGTACCACTGTATATGACTAAAGAAAACATTTATTATCAACCCAATATCCATGAAAATGACATGTACTCATTGAATAATACACATGCACTCTACACTTTATAATGTATATGTATGTGTGTGTGTGTGTTCACACGTAGTTGTTCTTGAGTGGGTTGAACTTTGGCTCTTTGGTCCCATCTCTCAACTGTCAATCAACTGGTGAACAGATTCTGGAGCCTATTGGCCTCTGTTAAATCTACATTTGAAACTGAGTATGGAGACTGCCTCTACCACATCACTGCCTAATACATTCCATTTGTTAACTACTCTGACACTGAAATAATTCTTTCTAATGTCTCTGTGGCTCATTTGGGTACTAAATTTCTACCTGTGTACCCTTGTTCATGTTCCACCCATGCTAAACAGTTTGTCCTTGTCAACCCTCTGACAAATTCAATTCCAGTCAATTGGAATTCCTCTGAGAATTTTGTAGGTGGTTATCATGTCTCCCCTTACTCTTCTGTCTTCCAAGGACGTGAGGTTTAACCCCTTTAGCCTTTCCTCATAGCTCATACCTCTCAGTTCTGGAACTAGTCTAGTGGCATACCTCTCAATCTTGTCTAACTTTGTCTTGTGTTTAACTAGGTATGGACTCCAGGCTGGAGCTGCATACTCCAGGACTGGTCTGACATAAGTGGTATACAAGGTCCTGAACAATTCCTTACACAAGTTTCTAAAGGCAGTTCTTATGTTGGCCAATCTAGCATAGTGTGTGTGTGTGTGTGTATATATGCATGCACACACGTGTGTGCGTGTGTATGCATACATATATGTATGTATATTTTATTATACATATTGCTGCATTGTTATTATTAATTAAATTCCCCACTGCCTCTGAGAATGCTAAGTTAGACTTGTCAGATTCATTACAGAATAGGTGTAAAAATGAACTTTTGGAAAATTCATTTTTAAATGTTCTTCCTCAGTGACAAAAACCCCAAGAAACAGAAGATATGTGCCAAAATCACTGACCTAACTCTTACAGTCAATATTCATATTCTCATAGACTTTCTTAATAAGTCTCATGCCAAATATCTGATCTATACACCCTCTTTCAACATGGAAAACACCTTGTTCATTTCCAGAACTATTCCAGTAACTTTCTTGCCACATACACTTAGTACATTGATGTCTATAAAGGTCTTACACTTGCCATAATCTCATTATTTTGTATACAGTAGTACTATCACTGCTGTTTTCCAATTCTCTTTCATGTTACTACTAGTCCACGCTCTCTGCCAAGTTCTCTACATTTCATTCTTTTACCTCCACAGTAATTGAATCACTTCTAAACATGCCTCAGCAAGACTTGTTCCTTTCCCTATTTTAGCTTCTTTGCTGATGTTGCTTTGCTTTGATGATGATGTCTTCCATGCAATCTTGTACTTTTGTACTCTCTCAATACCTCAAGTCCAACCTTGGTCACATTAGTGCCTCCATTAACACCTCCACCCTCTTGACATGCAAAGTATTCTCTACACCACACGTTCAGTAGAACTTCTGGTTTCAATTCTTTTTTACCATGTCGTAGCTCAGTCGATTAAGGCAGCATCTGGGATGCTCTCGGATGTAGGTTCGAATTCTCGTCATGGCCCTTGTGGATTTGTTTATTCTCTATACCTACTTCTAATCTTTTCACCATTTACCATTTATCTTATATAATCACATTTACATGTCCATAAGACTCTATGTACCACATTCTCACTTCTTCCCAAGAGATCTTGAGTAGGCAACAAGGTTTTCCCTAATAGCCAGGACAGTTTTGTGTGCCCATATTTCTCTGCAAAAATCTTACTGTACTAAATTATTTTAGGCCTTGTTTCACCTATTTCTGGCATTAAAAAAAAGTGAACATTTAAGTTAAGTGAGATATGTTCGATTTAAGCTTTTGCTTAGCATGTTTATTGAAATGAATGCATCTTCTTACACAAATTAAATTTGAAAATACAAACTTGAAAATATATAATATAAATATAAAAAAAAGGAAATTTGGCTTGTTAGGCAACTCTGGCTATTAAGTATAACTATATACACTGTATATAATAATAATAATAATAATAATAATAATAATAATAATAATAATAATAATAATAAAGTAAGCAAGCAGCAAGACAGAAGACAAAATAAAGCCAAACTTAAATGAATAAGATGTGCAAGAGCTGTATTGTACTAAAGCCACTAATGAGCTATTTGCAATATGTGCAGCTTAAGGCAGAAGAGAAGCTCCCCACACCATCACCACACACCATCACCACGGGACACCTGTCGGGACAAGCAACACTCTCCAGGTAACACCAGCATTAGTACCAGCAGGAAGAGGAGGAGGAGGAGGAGGAGCAAGCCAGGATGCCCGGAATCAGACAGGGTTGATGTGTACCTGACGGTGAGTCTGCTGTTGTCATTGGCGCCACGGGGGGGCCAGGGGGGCGTGGCGCCACACCTCGGGATTCTCTGGGGTGGTGGTGGTGATGCTTGTGTGGGGGTGGGGAGCTCGAGGGATTCAAGGGAGGTGGTCCGCCTTCCACAGGTGTTGGAGGAGAACTTCTGGAGGAGGAAGAACTCGAGGATGAGGTTAAGGACGGGGAAGTGGTGAGGGTAGTGGTGGTGGTGGTCGGGTCTCGGCATGAGTTGCTACCCACTTGGTTGAGGGCGGGCGAAGCCAGGGCGTGATTGAGGGCGTGAGAGATGGCGGGGTGGGGGTTGGTGTTGTTGTTATTGGGGCTGTAGGTCTGCTTCTCTGCGGCAAAGACTCCCCGCACCGCCTGCGGGAGCCAAGCCTCACGCTCCGCTGCAGACCGACACCATTCCCGCACCTACGCGCAGACAGACAGACACAAAGTTACTACAGCGCTCACAAGAGCACTCCACTACTCTACTCACAAACCACAATTAAATTTAAAATAACTTAAAAGCTGAAGCAAAACATCTAAAGCATTAAGCAGCCACACAGCAAACTGATTAAAACAAAAATAGTAGTAGTCCATGAAACTTTTTATACTACCATGCTTTAGCCACAAACAAATAAACAAAACAAAAAGATATAAACTAGCTGGTGTAAAGACATGGAACAGCAAATCAAACAAAACAAGCAAGTCTTTCAATTGAGTCTCTCTCGTCTTACCTTTTGATTCCTGACGCAGTAATAGACGAAGATGAAAATTCCGTGGAGAGCGTTGAGGACACAGAAGGCGGCGGCGATGGGGAGAGAGGGTCTGTGGAGGTAGAGTAGGCCCAGCGTCCAAGTCAACACCATCAACAGCAGCAACGTGATGGCGCTCCGAAGCCAAGCCCTATGGAAATGACCACATTTCATTATGATACTCTTATATTATCTCAAACTAAAAAAAAAAAAAGTCATTGTCTCAATTAAACTTTGATATTGAAATATATCTTATAATACACCATTACTATATAGCATTATTATTATACATATATTATTAATATACCATCATATACATTTTATGTACCATTATATAGATTATCCCATCAATGGATAATTGTTTATTAAAGGAAGGATTGCATAAGCCATAAAAAAAATTATAATGTATAGAAGTGTAAATTAAATTAAACAAAAACTTAATATATTAAGAAATTAAGTTTGCATTTGTTCAGAGCCCAGAATTATATACCATCAAGATTACAATTACGGAATACCCATGTCACCATGCTATCCATAACAAAGCATGTCCCGGAAGAAATGGGAAGAAATGGTATCTCATGCACCTACCTACCTAACAAATGGTCATGTTTTTATTTAACAAATTTATTGGCATCTTTCTTTGTAAGGTAGGTAGGCCTATGATTTTACATGGAAATATTCTATATACCTGCACTGGGTATACAATATTAAGCTAAATAGGCATTGGTTCTTTAAGATTTTTTTGTTTAACTACATGTATTAATATTCCAAAAAACTCTTTGCTAATCGAGCCATGATATAACTATGCCAACTGATGAACAGTAGAACTAACATTCTCAAATTATAAACAGTCATTCATTACAAGATAAAGAACATCATAGGACTCTGATTGTAAGTATCTTCTGAAACCTAAATCTATGCAGGTGTAAATTCAGCTCTACACGTAAACATTCCAATAACTCTGGGATGAATGTTCTACCAGCTTTGTAAGTCTGGCAGCGGAAACACATAAAATTTGAGAGTTACATACTTCAATCATCCTAAACCGGAAAGACTCTAATATACAGGTAATTGTTCTCAGGGGAATTTCCTACTCTTAACCCACTCAGGTCAAAAGGTAATGACAGTGGTTTAGCCCTAACTGCAAAATTTTAAATTATTAGATAATACTTTAAAATTTCCCTTTCGTTGGCAGAAAGCACTAAGATGTCAAAAATAAAATTCATTAGGATTATAGTTAAAAAAAATAATCATGTGCAGTACATAGGTGTTAAACAGGTTTTCATTTTACTTTTTTATAAATACAAGTCAAGCTAGAAAGGTTGGTACCTGTCATTCCCTGGGATCCCCAAACAGGTGAAATTAACATTTTACTCTGTGAGGAATTCGCCGAATTACTTTTACCCCAGGGTAATAAAATCAATCAGTACAGTTAGTAGATCTTCCCTATTCTCCTATCTGCCAACCTGTGATTGGAAGTATTGCAAGGCATGAGGAGATACATTGTAAAATTAATAACACAGCATCTCCATTATAGGACCTATCATTCCTTCTCACACACTAAGCCACAGTCCATTGAAGTAACATCAACTTGTCACCAATATTTTTAAATTTTGTTTATTTTTTAATTTTATCATTTTTAATTAAAAGATTAGATAACGCGAATTTCGGGTTTATACTGTACAAGTTTGTAATAAATTCGTCAATCCTGTGCAGTAAACAAAAGTAAAATATGCTGACTCAGAGCAGTGGAAAATGCTGCAAATAAAGGTAACATTTTCTTGCTTCGTAATCTTGCAAAGATTATGAAGGTGGTTACCTCATTACAAGGAATGAAGCTTTAGTCATTAATTTGTTTGGCCTTGAAATTGACAAATTTTTCATTAAATGCATAATTTAAGTCTTGTCCAAACACTCAAATCACAGCAACTTTTATGTTTTCAAAAATGGCATCAAAGAAAAGAAAAAAATCTGTCCAATAGTGAAATGATATGCAAAATTTAGGATTCTTGGACTAGTGAACTTCGATATGTTGGGTGGGTTGTGTGGGTACCTGGTGGGTTGCGTGGGTATATCTGCTTCCAATTAGGCAAAACCACTTTAATTTTGAGGTTAAATCGTGAGAATTGGCTGCATGGCTACATTTACACGCATCACAACTGATGCTGTAGAAACATACAATATGTTTAACATAATACATTAATTGTAAAGTGAGTGAGTGAGTGAGTGAGTGAGTGAGTGAGTGAGTGAGTGAGTGAGTGTGTGTGTGTGTGTGTGTGTGTGTGTGTGTGTGTGTGTGTGTGTGTGTGTGTGTGTGTGTTAGTGTTATTAAATTTAGGACTTAAGCTAGGCAGCTTATTGAACCACTTAGGTATTCAGCGCCATGTTTTTTAAAGAACACGATGAACCATTTTTTTATGTTGTGCTTTAGGCCTTAGGCTGGAACCGGTTTGGTTATTCGTGTGCCCACCAATTACTGCTATTAGCACAGGAGGCAAACAATGATGGAATGGTGTACAATTCTTGCCAAGAGTGATTTAACTCGAGTTTCTAATATCCAAAAGAATCTTGTGAAAACTATAGTTCAGTATATTAATTCTAACTTCATAGGACATCGAATAAGCTGTTAAATTATTTACCGCACTCAATAAACTCCCTTCGAAAATCTGTAAACGAATACATTTCAAATCATCAACTAGGTATTAAAAAAAATATATCTTGCTTAAATTTTCCTTTATAAAACTAGATACAGTAATAATAGCCCGAAGTGACAGGTACGTATAGTTAGGCTACAACGTCTTATTCAGAAGTCTGCACGAGAACCGATTGCGGCGTTGTAGAGAACCCGAACAAAGGGAGTCCAGATGGTGGCGACTTGAGGCTGACAGTGAGTGTTCTCCGCGGCTGTGGGGTCGTTACAAGGGCTCTCGCTAGCCGGGAACAATGACAAGACAAACCGCCAACACATACACAACAAAGCAAAAATGATTGGCTACCTCTTTCTAGAGGTTTTCACTAACTGGAAACCTTGTCATGGCCTACAAGAGAGAGACGAAGCCAGGCGAGATTTCTCTGGGGAAACGACTTCGAGGATACAACCTTTTTTTCCCCCCATAATGAGGCCTTAGGCTGAAAAAAGTGAAAATCCTTAGTGGTTAATAGAGATGAACAGCAAATGCCTTTTGCCTCATAAACCTAAGTAATATTTATCTTGGATTCCTGAGTAACAAATAAGAAAAAAAGTTGCAAACTCGGCAACGAGTTCCCCGCGGGCAAGAGGCAGGCTGCGGGAAGCTAAGTACCCAGCCACTCTTGTTTTAACGACGGTAATTATGGGGTATTTTTATCCTGTTACTATGCAAATCGTCCGAGTGAGGTTAATTACGGAGCAGGGCTAGCGTGGTCGGCCTGGGACACCGCGGATTTACGACATGCCCGACAAAAATGACAAGCACCGACAGGAGGCCATCTTGATCTCCATGCTCACGTCTTATTGGTCTATACATAAAAGACCCCGATTACCTTGTTAAACTCCCTCAATGACAGATTTATTTCGCGACTAAAAAACGAACAAAAAAAATAATAGCAAATTTAAAAGGATTAATATTATACGGAAATCGAGAAAAGATAAATATGAAACGAAAAATGGACACAAAGAACGGGCAAAAATGTGACAATTATCTATAGCATGGATTACCGAAACCTATTAGCGAGGAGAAATGTTATGCATTCATGAGTGGAGGGGTCGGTGAGTAAGTGCCTGGAGCAGTACAAACTGGCCGTGGACCACAGCACGGCAGACAAGCTGCTATGGCTCCCACTGTCACAACTCAGCAGACATTGCTGCCGTCTCTCCCACCGTCATAAGAACATAAGAACAAAGATAACTGCAGAAGGCCTATTGGCCCATAAGATTGATTGAAGAAGATTAAGCCACCCAAAAGGTGGCACGGGCATGAATAGCCCGTAAGTGGTGGCCCTTTTGAGCCATTACCAGTATCAATAGATGATACTGGAGATCTGTGGAGGTGCGACTGCACCCTGCGTGACGGGAGATGTCTCCCGTGATTGGCCCATACGAGGCAGCTCCTATTTATAACCACCCAATCCCACTCATATACATGTCCAACCCGTCACAACACAGCAAGACATACTTCAGCAAACATTACCACCATTACTAGCCCCCATCCACATACAACAAACTTTACCGGTAACAGCCTATCCAACGGTTGTAACAACAATATTTTCGATTTCTTGTTCTGTTACCTGCTAAATAATGAACACTTACAACCAAGCGTGCAAATATTGTACTCAAACTCAACAGCTATTAGTTTCTGTTAAAAATAATTGTAAATTCCAGGATCGCCGTCTTCCTCCCATCGTACAACGTAGCCTATTCTCCTTCCTCGTTGGTTAATTTACGTACAAAGATTAAAGCAATAATGTACCTGATGATTAATGTTAGGGAATAGCGAGAGACCGAAGTGCATTAAGCAATTAAAATGCCTTTATGACTTTTTCGAATGCTGTCAACATCACCAGGGAACCTGAGGCTTTAGAACCCAACAGGCACAAGACGAGTTGAATGCTCACTTAAAATGGTAATTGCAAGTCATTTAAAAAAACACTACCCATAATCTGTGGCGTAAAACTACGTACATAGGGGAAAAAGATAAGTTTTGTTATGTTCCCTACAATGAGGAAATATATACTGATAACGAATCTGTTGACGAGCGGCGAGGCATGAAGCATTCTCTGAATATGCATCAGTCAGCTGGTTAAATTGGCAGCACAGTGGACGCTGGGACCCATGCATGACTTGGCCAGCCGGCCGGCTGGACGGACGGACCCATGCATGACCTGGCCAGCCAGCCGGCCGGACGGACCCATGCATGACTTGGCCAGCCGGCCGGCCGGACGGACCCATGCATGACCTGGCCAGCCGGGACATGCACAGGGTGCTCCACTGCTTCACCAATCAGGAATATATATTGTGTGTTACATACAAGCCTTCAATTATGCCACATTAGGAAAATTAGCATATTTAGGTGATTTGTATGAGAGATGATACGTGCACGCACACAAACAAATGACCGCTATACTAGACTGCCAGAGAGGATGCTTCCAGATTTTAATGTATATGTGCAAACACTAGCAGCTTGCTCCCCCAACTCTCCAGCGAAATCTAATCCAGTTGTCAGAGCAAAAACATAGCTATCTGACGGTAACATGTAATGCTTGCCTTCAATTATTTTTGCGGAAACTTTAATACAACTTGTATTATCAATGGACTTACTAGTGTGGAAGCAAACAGGTTATGACAGAAATTAAGGATTGTGTTTAAAAGAGAACTTTATAAACACCTCTACAGAGGACCTGATCAGCCGGACTGTTACTCATACGAAGAGCAGCAACATGGTTGACTAGGCTACCTTCCAGGAGGCCTAGACAAAGGCTGGACCTTGGGAACATGACACCCTCGACCAGTACAATGTAGTAGTTGTTGTTGTTGTTAAAGATTTAGCTACTCAGGACGAAGTGTCCATGTAGCACGGGCTATGGTGAGCCCGTAACATAATGTAGATAGACCTCCATCTACATCGTCTTGGTCATTGTTCAACGCCCAGTCGGGACTTAATTAAATTGGGATTTCTTAGGGTGTTTTTGTCGTGGTATTCAGTCAGCCGGTGCTATACATGGACACCATGCATATGTTTTGCATGTTTAACTTGTATTATGATGGTGTAAACGCTTGTAAGGTGAGAGAGGGAGAGAGAGCACCAGGAGAGAGCATCAAGTTATTAGAACTCCGTGGCACTTGGAAGCTATATGAGGATAGGGATTTGGGATAGGCCGGTTGAGGGGTTCAGAGACACTTTAAGCTGTTACACGACCAAAAAAACATTCACTGCAAACATCTACCACCTACGGGCTATTCATGCCCGTGCCACCTCTTGCGGTGGCTTAATATTCTTCAATCAGTCAAATGGGATAGGCCGGAAGGAAGGAATGTTGCCCAAGCACTTGGACGCTCGGGGATCAAACGGCGACCAAGCAAGAAGCAAGGCCATCGATGTATCGTCCAGTCAGGTAAATGTAAATTCGACAATTGCTCTCACTTGTCGCCAGTACGTCGCCGCTCAATTAAACGTAAAACGGACACCGGCATACAAAGTGTCCGGACTACTGAGTGTACTAAGCTCAGCAAGACGTGGCCGTGCTCCCTAAACTCAGCAACACGTGGCCGTACCCACCGAGCTCAGCAACCCGTGGCCGTACCCACCAAACTCAACATGCTCAGACGAACTAACCAAAAGAAAGCCTCACGCAAACTTGTCCAGTAATTAATGCGAGGCATAAACGCTTTACGATCGAGCACAACGAAATTTGCATCGTGTAACTGAAACCTGTTTAAGTATAAACGTAATAAGTACGGTCACAACACAATCATTAATGAGCAATATAAAGGATGTGGGAAGAGCCTTATTTTTACAAGGTAACTTAGTGGAGTTGTCAACTCACTTAGACCACAGCCTAACTTATACAACTTAAATTCATGCGAGTTCGTTTATTGTTTGAATTTACTATATAATAATTTAATAAATACATTCTACCTTCATTTTCAAACGTTTCGTCGTTTGAAATTTAGTTGTAAATATAATAATTAAACAACTAAACATTAAAACAAAATTATTTTATCGAATGGTTACTGAAATTTGAAACCTAACTCGACTACAAATCAAATTTCACCTTAAAAATATATACCTTTCTGTTTCGCCTCGAGAAAATTACAGGAGACTAGGCTTGCGGGAGCGCCTCCTCCATCCGGTCTTTTCCCTTCTTTTTGCATTATTATAAAAGTCAATTTATTCCCACCCATCGCCTGTCACACTTGCTGCTATCACTCCACAGATTAATAAACTTTTGGCGTCACTTCTGCTGAATTAAATGTTGAAATTAATGCCTCGGCGCATCTCTCGCTACGGCATCTCGCGTGAGAATTATGTTTCGGCATGACTACTGCTGCCATCTAAAACCGGAATTAATCAACTGGGCGTCACTTATGCTGCCTTTTATAAACAAAATTGCCTTCCTTCTCCTTCATTTATGCTGCCATCCCAGAGACAGAAATAATAAACTTTCCCCACATCACACCACCCTGTTATTTGGTAATGATATCCACCATTCCATTATCTTTGATCACCCAAGCCTATGTTAGCATTACATATCAAGGAAACATTTCTCTCCTAGATAAACACGAATGTCTCATGTTGGGCCGTGACCTCTGACCTCTGCCAGTCGAGCTCACGGGTCACCGATCTCAGATTTGCGTCACAGTTTGACGAGTTGATTATATCAAAAAAACTTATAATCAACAGTGATGGTGAGGGGATAATATGACTGGTGTAGTACAGAGGATAAAGAAAATCTTAGAATCTTTTGTTTGCTCAATACCACGACCACAATGGAAACATTATTACAAGGAAAACTACGTAGTCGATTAACATTAGCTCTTTTATGTATAATTCACATCGATCTGAGAAAGGTAATCCGTCCCTCCCTACATATGTCAACAAACGTTTCTACCCGAAACGCTGCGCGTACTAGTGGCTTTACAAGATTGTAATTACTATACTATGTATCCTCACAATCCCAATGTACCTTCTTGTATATATATATATATATATATATATATATATATATATATATATATATGCGAATATATATATATATATATATATATATTCGCATATATATATATATATATGCGAACAAGCCTGAATGGTCCCCAGGACAATATGCAACTGAATATATATATATATATATATATATATATATATATATATATATATATATATATATATATATATATATAAATAAATAAATAAATAAATAAACGTACGGTGTTGTGGTGGGTCGAATAGAGGACAATTTATAAATAATTTTACACATACGTGTATACACCTAGTTGAATTCACCAAGTTGTGTTTGCGGGGGTTGAGCTCGGCTCTTTGGTCCCGCCTCTCAACCGTCAATCAACAGGTGGTGTGTGTGTGTGTGTGTGTGTGTGTGTGTGTGTGTGTGTGTGTGTGTGTGTGTGTGTGTGTGTGTGTGTGTGTGTGTGTGTGTGTGTGTACTCATCTATTTGTGCTTGAGGGGGTTATACATAAATATAGCAGTATAAATGCCATGCTATAGCAGTATGTATAATTTTGTATACATACTTTTTAACGAATAAACTGGATCCCATGTTTAATCTAACGAAGAGTGCGATACTGGCCATATTAATAAATAATTAGAAAGGCATCACAGTTTTATTACGACAAAAAGGAATTAAGTTTCTCTAATTCTACAAATATTCTGGATAAATTTGATTTCGAGTTTAAGGTCAGACTATTAAAGCATTACAAGTTATCAAACTAATTTTATTATAATGTCATTGTTCATTATACAAGGTTATATTAACATTTCATATGAATTTTATATGGCTTTCGAAGGCCACAGATTCTCCCCCCCCCTGCACTAGGCCAGCTACTGGCCATCCCCAGGATGCCACCCACAACAGCTCTCTAACTCTCCCAGGTACATATTTACTGCTTGGTGAAAAAGCATCAGGTAAAAAGAAAACTTTGCCCAAACGCTTCTGCCCTGTGATCTTCTCACCTGATGCCTCTGATCACCTAGCAGTCAGCTAACCTTTGGTTCCTATCCAAGGGAAGGTCAGCAAGATGGTCTTCCTGTTCCAAGGGGAATTATAAGGACAAAGTACCTGTTGTTGTTTTAGATTTAGCTACTCAGAACGAAATATCCATGTAGCACGGGCTATGGTGAGCCCGTAACGAGAGAGAACGAAGTCTGTACGACTATATAGCACTTGGAAGGGCTACGAGGTCACAGGAGACATCTCCCGTCCACGAGGCTAACCATAGCCCGCGCTTTTTGCCCCGCTCCTGTGCCAGGTAAGTTACGGGCTCACCATAGCCCGTGCTACTTGGAACTTGTTCCGAGTAGCTGAATCTATAACGACATACGAGGTCAGGACAGGAGGTTGGATAAAGGAATGGAGTGAAGGAATGATACTCAACAACATATAATTCACACAAACCCATCACCCATCACCATATGAGGCGAGCAACTACGACCCTGTCGTAGCTCAGTCGATTAAGGCAGCGTCTGGGATGCTCTCGGACGTAGGTTCGAATCCTCGTCACAGCCCTTGTGGATTTGTTCGAGCAATAAGGAATCCAGAGAGGTGGCTGATGGGTGAGGTATCGGAAGCAAGAGGTTGAGACGACACGAACAGAGGATCAGATGCAGGTCAGCGAAAGAAATTGAAAAGAGACAAGTTAAGCTCTAGTTCCACAAGCAGAGGTCATAAGAGGATTCAGTTACTCAAGAGTAAAACATACAGAGTAGCAAGTAGAAGTAATAGGCAAGCGGCTATGTCAGCTACTGACAAACTATAACAAAAGACAGGCGAGGGGAAACGAGCATATTTTACCAGACAAAACCAATAACATGTTAAACACAAAATAAAAATCACACACACACACATTCCCCCAGAAAATGAGGTGGTGCGACACACACAAATAAAAACAAAAAGCTAGAATAGATTTGCGAGTTAGCATAACAACATTAGGACAAGAAAGAAACGCTATGCGCAAGACATGCAGTGTTATTGGCTTACAGGCGAGAGTAGAGCCGGTGTTGGAGAGCGTTGGTGTACACGCCGCTGCCAGTGAGGAGAGAGACGGAGAAGTTAGAGAAAAAGTTGGACATGGCCATCTATCCTCTACAGGAGGAGGGGGGGGGGTGTTGGGGAGGGGTGGGCAAGTTAATCTTCACCCACAACATTATTTCCAAGGGAACCAAGACGGAATTTATATTCTAAAGCAGTCAGATGGCATTTAAAGGAAGTGTTAACAGTGATTAAGAAAAGCCTAAATACAGCACAAAATTTGAACAGTGAGATTACAGTCTTGGAACACAAGACCAAAACATCCAGGTGATGGGGAACTTGTGCAAGTGACGTGAGCGACTGTTGGGCAATAGGTCGACAGAAAGACTAAGTTTATCCCACGTGGTGAGAGGAGTTTAAGAGCAACACCCACCTGCTGGAGTCCAGCCGAGCCATCTCCTTGGTCTTGAGAGCATCGTCAGGAGACAGCTTGCAGGTGTAGATGAGGGCGGCTGCCAACAGGGCCACATGAGCGGCCAGCAGCAACAGCGCCGGCCCCACCAGGGAGAACACGAAGTAGTTGTCGGTACGAAGCCAGCAGTAGTGGGCGGTGCCGTAGCTGAAGGGGTCGATGACGGCGGCAGCGGCCACCACCAGGAGCGGGAGACCATACGCCAGGGTGTAGTGCCACCAACGAAGTCTCAGAGAATCACACTCCACCGCCCGCGCCACACTCAAGTACACATGTACACCTACACACACAATATTAATACCTCAAGTTAATGCAGACGAGGAGTCACAATAACGTGGCTGAAGTATGTTGACCAGACCACACACTAGAAGGTGAAGGGACGACGACGTTTCGGTCCGTCCTGGACCATTCTCAAGTCGATTGTGTCGACTTGAGAATGGTCCAGGACGGACCGAAACGTCGTCGTCCCTTCAACTTCTAGAGTGTGTGGTCTGGTCAACACCTCAAGTTAATGATATTATCAACAATTTATTAATAAAATGGCTTAATTACAATTCAGTAACGCGATTAATAAATTGTTTTAGATGCCTTACCTTCCATAAACATCCATGCGAAGGCGGAGAGGACGGTGTAGTGGAGAATGCCTGCGACCACACCGCAGAGCACAGGGGCGTCCGTGCGCCACACCCCCACCAGGAACACCAGCTCGGCCGCCGTCAGACACACACACACGTGGCGATGCACGGCGGTGCGGGGCGACGCCAGCCCGCGAAACACAGAGAACACCAATAAGGACCCCGCCACGCACACCAGACTCACCACGCACCCCACGTACGCCAGAATCCGCAGCGCCGCCTGCGGATCTTCGCCCATGCCGCCTGCGGCTTCCTCCATCAGCACCGCGAAGTTGGTCAAGTGGTCGCACTGGCAGGTGACGTGGGAACGGTTGTAGCGCAGCACACGACAGCCTTCGTCGCTCCAAGCCGAGGTCGTGTAGTCCCAGAAGGCGCACACGGGCCGAGTTACGTTTTCACGTTTCAGAAGAGTGAAGGTAAGAGTGACTGGCTCCGGCAGCTGAATGTGGCGGCCGCGGCCCAGAGACGCCGACACGACCCGTGAATTGACCAAACGGCTGATGTTTCCGGCACGATGGTCCAGCGGCTCCGGTCCGGGCGTCAGCAAATCCTCCAGGTGACGATAAGTCAGAAACACAACTCTGGTAGATCCTCCATCACTGTTTTCCAGAATAGCTTCTGGAGGGAGGATGACGGAGTCAGCATACACCCAGTCAAGATTCTGGTCCTCAGGGGAAGGGAAACGGACGGAGGAGCCGTCAGGCGTGGCTGACCTTGCTGACACTAGCACGTGTGACCTGTAGTGTGCCGCCTGGGCGCCAGGGGGCAGAGCGTCAGCCAGAAGAAACGAAGCTTCTTCCAGCGCCACCATGAGTTGCGTGACGGCATGGCGCCTCTCGCGGACAGCCAGGTCTCCCCAGGGCCCCGCCATGCCCGCCGCCAGTAGGGCAGATCCTGTAGCGAGCGCCGCCTGCAGCATTTCCGTAACCAGATCCTGCCGTTGTCGCGGGTCTGGAAAGTCGCGCACCTGCTCTGTCATGCGCGAGGCCAAGGTGGAGAGGAGGCGAGCGGTGGTGGTGAGATCACCGCCATACAGTGCTTTGCTGGCAGTGACTGTGGCTAGATCAGCAGCCACACTCAGCAGTGAGTCGTGCGAGCTGGCGCGAGTCTTGAGGGTTGCCAGCCACACACTGCGGCACTCGCTGAGGTCAGCCGGGCCCGCCCACTCTGCTGAGTGGCACGGCCGGCGTGCCCAACCTGAGGCACCGCCAGGACACGGCTGAACTGCCACTTCACCCCCGCGTGTCCAGTTCCAGTACAACCCACGGCCAAACGTCGGCGGGCACCAGGGCACATTATAGTCACCATCTGTGCGCGGGGGTGCCACGGGCGGCGCCTGAGTGCTAGTGGGCGGAGAAGTGGTTGGGGAGCTGCTGACGGTGGTGGAGGGCGTGGCAGGTGTAGTGGACGAGCCAAGACTCGTGGGCTCTCCTCCACTCACTGTAGTAGGGACCTCAATGTCTGGGACATCTCCATCTTCCGACACGTGAGGTATTGTGGCGGGAGGTATGGTTGTGGTGGTGGTTGTGGTGGTCGTAGTGCTACTGGTGGTAGTAGTGGTGGTGGTGGTAGTGGCAGGTGGAAGAGTAGTGGTAGTGTTGTTGGTGTTGAGAGTGGGCAGGATCCGTATAGGCGGCCGCGTGGCCACAAACCAAGGAGGTCGTGGCCTGGAGGTCGTAGTGGTCGTCGAAGTGGCTAGAGAACAAACAAACCTTAATTAGTCCACCATACACACACATACACTACACCTTCTCCCTATAGCACAACTTTATAAACCATGAAACTACACACTACTCCCATTTGCCAATGCCAACAACAAGAAGGGGGGTTAACCCCAAGGCTCGGGCTACTCCAAGTGCCATATACAAGAGATTTATCACCCACTAAGAGTACCATTGGAGGCGCCACTGGCATACTACAGAGTCCATAACATCAGTAACATATAACAGTTAACTTAAGAGTAAACAGAGCAATATGGGGCGGCCCGGGTGTCACAACACACTCAGGGGAAGGAAGAGAGAGGGAAGGAAGAGAGGGGGAAAGAAGAGAGGGGGAGGGGAAGAAGAAGGGGTAAATAATGCACCACGCGGTAATAGGGAGAACATGGAGAATGATAAAAGAGGGAAGATATCACAGGAGAGAGGAGGGGGAAAATTTGCAGGCTTGAGGCTGATGGGAAAGAAGAGGGAACTTCTAGTCCGAGGGACTAATGGAACAGATAGCTAGACCTCAGAGCTGATGGGAAGGAGAACAGGCTTGGGGAGACTAATGGATAAGGCTACACGGAGTCTGTCAGCCTCGACACTGATGGGTAAGCCTAGAGAGAGAATTTGTTAGTCCTGAAGTCTTAATGGGTAAGGCTAGTAGGCGCTTGTAGGCCTGAAGGATCACAATGGGGAATAGAGGTAACCGCTAGGTCTAGATACTGAAGAGTGAGAATGATGAAGATAGAACTGACAGACCAGGCTGATGGTCCACCAACATCCCATAGCGAGTGAAATACACAAACGCAAGACACAAGAGACCAAGGGATACCAAACCTGGAGACTTACATTTTTTGGAAGGAAGAGGAAGGACTGGAGAATACTAAGCCTTGGAAAGTGGAGGGTTGGTAAGACCTGGAAGGAAAAGGCAGTGCCACAGGGGTTACAGGGGGGTGACAGGGGTTACAGGGGTTGACAGGTACCATGGGGTGACAGGGGGCCAGGGAGTGACAGGTACCATGGGGTGACAGGGGCCAGGAGGGTGACAGGGGCCAGGGGGTGACAGGTACCATGGGGTGACAGGGGCCAGGAGGGTGACAGGGGCCAGGAGGGTGACAGGGGCCAGGGGGGGTGACAGGGGGCCAGGGGCCAGGAGGTGACAGGGGCCAGGAGGGTGACAGGGGCCAGGGGGTGACAGGGGCCAGGGGCCAGGAGGGTGACAGGGGGGCCACATTAACATGTAAATAGCACCATGGCTCACACCGCTCACAAAGTTTATCCCACGTCAGCCTCAGTTTTGATGTGTTCATAATGACATCACAGCTGGCCTCGACCACTAAATGATTAACATGAATATATGAGAGAGTAGACAAGAGAGAGAGAGAGAGAGAAAGAGAAGAGGAGAATGTGAGAGATTAGCGGAGAAAGGGGAAGATGGTAGCAAGGAAAGAGAGTGGAAGAGAGCAAACACAGGAGAAAGTGAGGAATATGAATATACCGTAATAAAAAAAGGGAGAGAGATAAATAATGAGAATTTTCCCCCAAAAAATCATAACAATTTGCAAAATGAAACAAAAGAATAGCGCATCACATAGATTCCAAACGCCATAACAAAGTAGAAACCACAATAACGCTAGAAAATCAATAGTTCAAGGTATACCAAACATCACTGAAACCCCCCCCCCCGGTACCACTTGGGGGATACCAACTTTACCTGCGTTACACTGGTAGTGGGCCTCCAGGTACTTGTGGGTACCAGGACACCCGTCGCCGAAGCGGGCGGTGTTGGCTTCGATGGTACAAGAGGGCTTTCCTGAGCAGCTTGCGTGAAAAAGAGACAAAAAGATATTCCTTTCAGACACGACATGCAACACACACACACACACAAGCCGGGGTTAGTTAGTGGCCGCACTAAAGCCTTAGTTGTGTGCTCACCCTCCCGGACAGATGGGATAGGTACTTACGGGCCTATCCCACGGCCAGGGAGATTTTCACGCTCCTATCCCACGGCCAGGGAGATTTTCACGCACCTATCCCACGCGCAGGGAGATTTTCACGCTCCTATCCCACGGCCAGGGAGATTTTCACGCTCCTATCCCACGGCCAGGGAGATTTTCACGCTCCTATCCCACGGTCAGGGAGATTTTCACGCTCCTATCCCACGGTCAGGAATAATAGGTGCTCATATCTTTTAGCTATGAAGGGACTCAATCCGGTGAATAGGCTAGCTTACGCACGATCTGGAGAGAGCGAGAGAGAGCGAGAGAGAGCGAGAGAGAGAGAGAGAGAGAGAGAGAGAGAGAGAGAGAGAGAGAGAGAGAGAGAGAGAGAGAGAGAGAGAGAGCGAGCGAGAGCGAGCAAGAGAGAGCAAGAGAGAGCAAGAGCGAGAGAGCAAGAGCGAGAGAGAGAATGATTATGTCCGTGTTTCAATCGTGAAGGGAGCAAGAAGGACAAGGCAAGAAAGAAGAAATAGGAGAATTAAAAACAAACCAGGTCCACCTATCACTTGCTTCCCATCCCTCCCCTCCCCCACCCCAACACTGGCCGCTAACCCCAATGCTCCAAGCTTGATCTTAGCCAACCCGCCAACACCGTGAATATCCCGAATTAACGTTACTATGGCGGGTATATAAATCTGTAATGATATAGTCTCGTAAATCGTCCCGGGGGGGTAAGGGACGATCGAGGTGGACGATATACCTATATCTTAAATGCTGAAGTTTTAATAACCGACCATCAACACAAGTGGCGTCAAGGGGGCGGAGTTAGCCGGGGCCCCCGCACTGCCAGACGTACGACCCCTTCCATACAACTCGCAAATAAATAATACCCGGAACTCTCAAGGCACCCAAGTCATGGGGGAACATTGAATGAATATATAATAATCTATTACAAGTTGTAGTTAAGTCTGTATTTACGTCGGGTAAATCTTTTGACCACCGTTTGTAAAGATGTTGAGGGAATTTTGCTGAAGGCTACTGAGTCGCGATCAGGAGATTGTGGGGTGATGCTAAGATGAGATCTGAGAGACGGTGAGACGCTGAGATAGCGAGAGAAGCGGTGGAGGGAGAGAAGAGTGAAGACTAGAGAGAGAAGGTGGCGGCTTCACACACCTTTGGCGGGAGAATTAACTACCTGGACCCTCCCTCTCCCCCTCCCTCCATAGCTAACAAATTATTTACTTCCTCGAACTCCTGAACCTTTCTCATTTCTCCTCTAGAGGAGCCTCCTACTTCACCTCCAACTCGACACCTTCCCCCTTCCTCCAACACATCGACCCTCCAATTCCTTCTCATCCCGCGCCACGTTATTCTGTCCATTCCTATCTTCCTAAGACCTCCTCCTCCTCCTCCTCACATTTTTTTGGGCCTTACCTGATCAAGATCCTTATCTCAATAACACCTTCCACCCCCTCCCACTCCCCTCCCACGCCCCTCCCACTAATAGCATGTGACTGGTGACTAATATACAGTATTAGCTGCCTTCTCCTCTTCTCCGTTTACTAATTTTCTTTCCCATTATCGTTTGTTTCCCTCCCTCCCCTCCCACCTTACTCTCCCTTTCTGCATTTTCCCTCCCCACTTTCTCTCTGTCTCTCGCTAGTTCTAACCCCTCACTTCTTTGAGGGGGGCGCACCATACCCCCCCTCCCTCTCTCACTCTCACTCTCTCTCTCTCTCTCTCTCTCTCTCTCTCTCTCTCTCTCTCTCTCTCTCTCTCTCTCTCTCTCTCTCTCTCTGGCTATTTCCTAACCCCTTCACATCAAAAGCCATCCATTCTGCTCTCCCCCCCCCCCACCACTACCACCCCCCTCTCCTCCAAATCTTGCAACTACCCCTCCACTGTGTCTTGGAGGAGAGTGCCGAGGAGGGAGAGGGGATTGGGTTGGGGAGGGGGGGGGATATTAGATGGAGAGGGGGGGGGTGTAAGTGCAGCTAGAGGAGTGATTCTGTGGAGACGAGGAGGGGGGGTGTGATGAGAGGGGGTGTGTGTGATGAGAGGGGGGGGGTGCAGAGGAGAGGGGGGGTGTTATGACGCAATAAACTATGCTAAAAGAAGATAATTGTTCGGGTAAAATGTCCAAATACCGGACTATTTTGTCGTAAATCAGCGATAGGATCGTGAGGTGGGGGGGGGGGGGGTGAGGCCGCGTCAACTCTTGTGAAACTGGAGGAGGCTGTGATGGAGGGGGAGGGGGGGGATGAGGGAAGGAAGGGGGAGAAAGAAGGAAGGAAAGGAAAAAAGAGGAATAATTGTATCACTATTGGTCTGTAGTATCCTCCTCGCTTGGTACGGTACGTTTCTGCTTGGTACGGTACGTTTCTGCTTGGTACGGTACGTTTCTGCTTGGTACGGTACGTTTCTGCTTGGTGCGGTACGTTTCGTATCCATTCAACTCTTCCACTGGCAGCATCACTGCCAGGATCACCCCCAATCCCTCATCACCCCCCAATCCTCCCTCCCTCAACGAACGAGACTGCAAAACCATTCATTCGCGGCTCTATTAGTTAGTGGTGTTAGTAAGGTTATTTGCTACTGACTAGCTGATCTATGCCACAAACCCAATCCCCGTTGTTAGTGTGAACCGGTGAACCGCTTCGCCAAATCACGAACTGCTTCAACCGTATTCACGAATTAGGTGACCAGCCGCTACGCTGATCGCTACTTCGAAGTGCTAAGTGTTAGTAATACTAGTAGCAACAATGTTAAGGCACTAGTTAGGCTCCTAGTACCTCTCCTTCCTCTAGAAACTAGCCTCCTGAGCAGGAGGAGGAGGAGATAAGATTCGGGGAAAATGCAGAAAGGACAAAGGCGCCGACGGAGGACTCGAAAAGTTACCTAAGGCGCATGCGTAGTGGACTTCGATGTATTTGTGGGTTCCCGGGCAAGGGTCGCCGAAGATCTGGCTGTTGACTTCTGTTGAGCAGTTGTCCACTCCGCTACACCTGTGTCCTCAACTCTTTTAGTAAATTGTATATTGAGACCTGACGTTTCTCACTCCTCTCTCTCCCTCTCTCTCTCTCTCTTTGTCAACACATTGTATTAATCTCTCTCTCTCTTTGTCAACACATTGTATTAATCTCTCTCTCTCTTTGTCAACACATTGTATTAATCTCTCTCTCTTTGTCAACACATTGTATTAATCTCTCTCTCTCTTTGTCAACACATTGTATTAATCTCTCTCTCTCTCCCTCTCTCTCTCTTTGTCAACACATTGTATTAATCTCTCTCTCTCTCTCTCTTTATAAATTATTTTTGTTTTCTTGTCTAACATGTCTAACATTCTCTTCTATACAACTTGTTATTGTTGTAAACCATTCTACATTTTCTCTGGATAATATGTTTCTATAATTGCTTACTAGTTCGACTTCTGTAAAGCTTTCTTTCACTGCTATGCCAGTATTTTCTAACCTTTTTTGAGTCGGTTAGAGAGAAGAATAGCTTTTTGGAGTCGGTAATTGAGCTGCTTTTCACCTAGCTTCTAACTCAGCCCGCTTTGAAAACGCTTTCTCAAACTTCTCTAACACTTTCTAATGTTTACTTAAAACCTGCTTCCCTTTCAGCAGCAAACTTCTAACTTCTGTTTACTGTACTTTGAAGCACTTTCCTAACATCGCTAACATCTGCTTAATGGGGTTCTGGGAGTTCTTCTACTCCCCAAACTACTAACTTCCTGCTAACAAACCTCCCAATACATCTAACACTTGTTGTATTTCTTCTAACATTTGTTAATTGATGCCTAAGACCACCTCTCTGCTAGTAACTAATTCACTACGACACCTACAGCCAGTCTTCTAACGCCTCGTATCAGTACTTTAGCTAAGTTACTCTTAAGGTAAAATAGGTACCTGGGTGTTAGTCAGCTGTCACGGGCTACTTCCTGGGGGGTGGAGGCCTGGTCGAGGACCGGGCCGCGGGGACACTAAAGCTCAGAAATCATCTCAAGATAACCTCTCAAGAAAGTAGCTAATTACTGAGATAGTTACTCTAACGTAACTACCTCATCACGGGGGGGTCTATATACCACCTAGTATATAGTACTAGTATATATAATATATAGTATATTCAGCAGCACATAGGCCTAACTAGCAGTTAAAACCCACTTAAAGTTCACCTTGAGACCTTACTTAAAGAAGAACAGCACTTGACAACACTTAATTTGAAAGTACATATCAGGGACATAACTCATTAACTGTAATGGGGAGGTAATTAACTTAAACAATAATATATGAAAGAGAAATGTTAACAAAGAATAACATTAAGTGACAAATTAAATTAATTTCTAGCATGTTTCCAAATTTTAACAATTTGAATAACACAATTTAATATGAAAAGAAAGTATGACTAAATTGAGCAATAAACAGATATATATATATATATATATATATATATATATATATATATATATATATATATATATATATATATATATATATATATATATATATAACATTTTAAATGCAACATAAAGATGAAACATAATATACAATTACATAAATACCATTAACTAAAACCTTAACACAATGTTTACATCAACATCAATCAACATCAATCAAGAATCATGCACAGTGTCAATATTATCAGCATATATAACCCCCCACATATTACCAGCATATATAACCCCCCACATAGCCGTCAAGTTACAACCCCCGCTCCCGTGCCAGGTAAGTCTACTACGGGCTCACCATAGCCCGTGCTACTTGGAAACTTTTTGTTCCCAGTAGCTGAATCTTTTAAAACAACAAACCCCACACACATAGCTAAGATGTTTAAACCCCAAACATTCATTCACATACACTTCCTTCAACATATTATTAAATGTAAATTATTCATTTCTTATTAACTGTATATATTCACTCAACCTATCAGTCCTGAAGAACGTCCCCCCCCCCCCCCCCCCCACCGAATTTCCCCCATATTATATAGATTTCCTAACATACCCATGATATATCCCCCCCCACACACCCCCCCAAAACATACCCACCGAAGATGATAATTATAAATGGTTATCTTGAAGTGGTTATCTTGCACTGGTTATCTTTCAGTGGTTATCTTTCAGTGGTTATGATAATTACAGCGCTCTACAGGGAAAACCATTCACATAACTCGCACCTTCCGCCATTTCCTATTCGAAGGTCAAGGCGGAACAAACGATGACCGTAGCTCGAGGTCACGGGCGCTGTACACAGGTAACGATCAAACCAGAGGGGACTGGGCTCTGTGGCCCATTGGCACCACTGGTGTAATGACACACACACAATGCGGACAAGAGGAATAACGTGAGACAAATTTAAGACGCAGTTTGATATTCCAAATAGTCACGAATTCGGAGAGTAGTAGTGAAATAAAACAAAGTTGGTACTTAACTCCTTTAAGAAGCTTAAAGAGGTTTAAAGAGACTAAAAGAGGGCTTAAACTTCTCTTAACTCCGTTAAGAAGAGTTATGTCTACAATGCACAGTGTACAGTACCGTACGTGGTACTGTACAATTAAAATGTACATTGCACAAAATATAATGTACAATCTATATTATTATTTTGAGACACAGGCAAGATACATATTACTGTATCGCGATAAAGCACCTAAGTTATTGGGATCGACTCTAAGCTCTCCAAATGTACTCACTAGTAAGGAGACGAGAGAGATACCAAATAATATACACGTGGAAAATACTGGAGGGCCAGGTCCCAATTCTACACAACATACTGGAGTGAACGATATGGAAGAAAATGCAGAATAGAACCAGTGAAGAGCAGAGGTGCCATAGGCACAATCAGAGAACACTGTATAAACATCAGAGGTCCACGGTTGTTCAACGTCCTCCCAGCAAGCATAAGAAATATTGCCGGAACAACCGTGGACATCTTCAAGAGGATAGTTTCCTCCAAGGAGTGCTGGACCAACCGGGCTGTGGTGGGTATGTGGGCCTGCGGGCCGCTCCAAGCACCAGCCTGGTGGACCAAACTCTCACAAGTCGAGCCTGGCCTCGGGCCGGGCTTGGGGAGTAGAAGAACTTCCAGAACCCATCAAGCAGGTAAATGTGGGCCTGGGGCCGCTCCAAGCACCAGCCTGGTGGACCAAACTCTCACAAGTCGAGCCTGGCCTCGGGCCGGGCTTGTGGAGTAGAAGAACACCCAGAACCCCATCAAGCAGGTGGCGTAAATGCTTGCTGAAACCTGTGAGAGGATTGTAGGTGTAGGAGAGAGGCGAGGAGAAAGACCCTGTAGGGTGTAGTGAGGGCGACGGGTAGTAGTGGAGTGGATGGTAAGAGGGATATGTACTTTATGTGCTCAATGGCTGGGGGCGCTAGTGGGTGAGAGAGCTCCAGAGAGCGCCAGAGAGCGAGCGAGATGACACGGTGTCACAATCACCCATTCCCTATCACCACCACCACACTACCCTCCTCTACCACTACCACCACCACCACCACCACCTCGGATGCGGCCCCCCCACCCCCCCCTACAAACATCCCAGGGGCGACAAGCGTAATATCACTAATTTGGATGAAGGACGGGAAGGCCAGGGGGAGGGAGAGGGAGGCGGGCAGCGCCTACCTGGCTGAAGGCTCGGTGTTAAAACTGCCACGTATTGGTGTTAATGTTAACGCCGCCTGGTGTTAACCTGATGGACCCGTAATCGCTTTAAACGATCTGTGCGCCGCGTCTCCCGATAAAAATATATTGAAAGGCACGACGGCGCGACGTTCTGTTTTGGCGGGAGAAGGTTGGCGTTCGGGAGACGAAGTCGTTGTTATTGTTAAAGATTCAGCTACTTGGAACTTGTCCAAGTAGCACGGGCTATGGTGAGCCCGTGGTGGACTTACCTGGCACAGGAGCGGTGAGATAAAGTCGTTCTGCTTCGCTTTTGTCTAGAGCATGAGGAGAAAGCGGTACGAGGACAGGATAGGAGCTGGGATAGAGCGACAGAGTGGAGCAACGGTGATCAACCACTTGGGTCATCGGGGGATCGAACTCCGGCCTGCAAAAAAAAATCGAGGCCATCGCTGCCGCGACTAGTCCTAGTGGCTGGGCATATGTAAAATGGATCTTCATAGGTCAATAAATGAAACCACGACTCTCGAAGCCTGGTCATGATAAATTCCAGGTTGGTTTAACCAGGTTATCTTGAGATGATTTCGGGGCTTTAGTGTCCCCGCGGCCCGGTCCGCGACCAGGCCTCCACCCCCAGGAAGCAGCCCGTGACAGCTGACTAACACCCAGGTACCTATTTTACTGCTAGGTAACAGGGGCATAGGGTGAAAGAAACTCTGCCCATTGTTTCTCGCCGGCGCCAGGGATCGAACCCAGGACCACAGGATCACAAGGCCAGCGTGCTGTCCGCTCGGCCGACCGGCTCCCTAAGTCGAATGAGTCTACTAACGCGAGTCAAATTCTCGTTATCAAGGGGACAGGAAGCCTCTACTTAGGCTTATTGACGTCCCCCCTCAACACAATTCAACTACAAGCCTTTCCCAGAATGCACCCCACAACAGTTCTCTAACTCCCTGGTGCCCATTTAACTGCTAGGTGAACAGAGGCATCAGATGAAGGGAGAGACATCAAACCTTTCCTGTCCCGCCCGGGGTTTGAACCCCTGGATTGTGTGCCGAAGACGTAGACCACTGTGCAACGAACATGCTCCGGGATGACGTATTTAACGCCATCTCAAGAGTTGTTCTCACCTAGTTGTGCTTGCGAGGCGGAGGGGGGGGGGGGCTGAGCTTCAGCTCTTTGGTCCCGCCTCCCAACTGTCGATCAAGGTGTGTAGGGCTCGTTCCTCTCTCATTCGACTTTATCTTTCTCATCATCCAATTTTCTCTTACCAATTCCTCCTCTCTCATTCGTCTTTCCATTTCAGTGCTTCATTTCTCTTTCACTTCCAACCCTTTACTTTCACATTTCATTTTCTCTTCTTAAAATCCCTCTTCTGGGCTTCCCGCCTCTTCTGGGCTTCCCGCCTCTTCTGGGCTTCCCGCCTCTTCTGGCTTCCCGCCTCTTCTGGGCTTCCCGCCTCTTCTGGGCTTCCCGCCTCTTCTGGGCTTCCCGCCTCTTCTGGGCTTCCCGCCTCTTCTGGGCTTCCCGCCTCTTCTGGGCTTCCCGCCTCTTCTGGGCTTCCCGCCTCTTCTGGGCTTCCCGCCTCTTCTGGGCTTCCCGCCTCTTCTGGGCTTCCCGCCTCTTCTGGGCTTCCCGCCTCTTCTGGGCTTCCCGCCTCTTCTGTTCCACCTTCCACAGGAGCCTCGCCCTTCACCTTCAGGGCAGACGCCATGATAACATCCCAGGGCGGTGATAAGCCCTCAGAGCCCTACTGATCCACCACCCGAGCCTGATCCGCTTTTTCGGATCCACCGAAAGGAATTCGCGTTTCTCAGCGGCATTATTAACCACACTGTGGCGGGGAGGCAGACACCGTGTGTGTGTGTGTGTGTGTGTGTGTGTGTGTGTGTGTGTGTGTGTGTGTGTGTGTGTGTGTGTGTGTGTGTGTGTGTGTGTGTGTGTGTGTGTACTCACCCAATTGTGCTTGCGGGGGTTGAGCTTTGGCTCTTTGGTCCCGCCTCTCAACCGTCAATCAACTGGTGTACAGGTTCCTGAGCCTATTGGGCTCTATCATATCTACACTTGAAACTGTGTATGGAGTCAGCCTCCACCACATCACTTCCTAATGCATTCCATTTACTACCTACTTAACACTGAAAAAGTACTTTCTAACGTCCCTGTGTACTCATTTAGGTACTTGGGTGTGTGGGTGTGTGTGTGCATTCACCTAGTTGTGTTCACCTAGTTGTGCTTGCGGGGGTTGAGTTCTGCTCTTTCGGCCTGCTTGATACCTGCTTGATGGGGTTCTAGGAGTTCTTCTACTCCCCAAGCCTGGCCTCGGTGAGAGCTTGGTCCAACAGACTGTTTCTGGGAGCGGCCCAGCGTAGGCCCACATATCCACCACAGCCTGGTTGGTCCGACACTCCTTGAAAAAACTATCCAGTTTTCTCTTGAAGATGTCCACGGTTGTTCCGGCAATATTTCTTATGCTCGCTGGGAGGACGTTGAACAACCGCGGACCTCTGATGTTTATACAGTGTTCTCTGATTGTGCCTATGGCACCTCTGCTCTTCACAGGTTCTATTCTACATTTTCTTCCATGTCGTTCACTCCAGTAAGTTGTGTAGATTTGGAACTTGGCCCTCCAGTATTTTCCACGTGTATATATTATTTGGTACCTCGTCTTCTTTGTAGAGAGTATATTTTTAACTCTGTCGTAGCTCAGTCGGTTAAGGCAGTGTCTGGGATGCTCCCGGACGCAGGTTCGAATCCTCGTCACGGCCCTTGTGGATTTGTACATTTTGAGAGCTTTGAGGGGGTGGTGGAGGAAGGCGGTGGTGGAGACAGTTGGGCCGTGTCTGGTAATAGATGAGAACATTGCGACGACGACGCAAAGTTTGGGAGAGAGAGGGGACACGGGGGAGAGTAAGGGGGGGGACAAGGGGAGAGGGAGGAGAGAAAGGGAAGGGGTCGTCACGTCCCAGGTAACGGGGACATTAGTTTCCGGCAACAAGGAAGGGGTAAGGGAAGGAGGGGGGGGGGTTGCTCCCCATGGGGAGAGAAGATGTGGTCGTCTGAGGGGGGCGATGCCCCTTGAGGGGTGAATGAGGAGGGGGGGGGGTTGATCCCCAGGGGGTCGTGCATCTCCATCACGCCCCCTCTCCACCATAACTCACTCGGTCTGAAGGGAGGGGAGGGAGGGAGGGTGGAGGGAAGATGGAAGGGAGAAGATGGAAGAGAGGGTACAGAGGAAGAAAAATGGAAGAGAAGGAGGGTGGGGAAGGTGGGAAGGAGGGAGGGGCATATGGGAAGGGAGGGAAGATGGAGGGGAAGGTTATGGGTGTTAAGGTTAAAGGGTAAGGGCAGAGGGAGTCTTTACCTGTGGCTGCTTTTCAGAGTTACAGCCAAAGCCCAGCCTGTAGTACAGGAGGTCTTCTGATGGTTACATGAACGGGACCTGTAAGGAACAGGTCTTCTGTACCTTACAGCGGCCTGGCAGGATCACAGAGCCTTGAAACCCTGGCTGGTCCAGCTGTATGCCAGGGGGAGATGCAATGTTGGTTTCACTAGAATGACTCTTCCTTTACCTGGAGTACACCTGAAGTGGGTTCTGGAGTTCTTCTCTCCCCCCCCCCTACCCAGGGCCAGGCTTATCTTGTACCTTCTTGAGGTTATCTTGAGATGATTTCGGGGCTTTTTAGTGTCCCCGCGGCCCGGTCCTCGACCAGGCCTCCACCCCCAGGAAGCAGCCCGTGACAGCTGACTAACACCCAGGTACCTATTTTACTGCTTCAAGACCTTTGTCTTGAAGCTTCTCCTAAAATGGCATATCATTTTCCTGGATGATAAGTTTAGTGTTGCAATATTTAATTTTGTTTCGCCCATGTCCCGACAGCATTATTCCTAGACCTTTTACACAGGGCTTATGATCAATGGGGAGGTTTTCCCCTCATCCATCTTTTATAACAATTTGATGAAATTGGAATTTTGTCACAGCTAAATGCGAGCTGTTGTTTTCCGGCGGCCAATGAGAAAACTGCAAATATTCGTTTGTAGTTTGTCATTGGCTTCGACTTAAGTCATTTTCATGTTGCTTCTGTTATCGCCCTCTTAAGTCTTACACCAAGAAGATGTTAAATAATTTCCAATTTTACAAATAGTTTACTCACTCACTCACTCTCTCACTCTGTGTGTGTGTGTGTGTGTGTGTGTGGTATTATATATATATATATATATATATATATATAATATATATATATATAGATATATATATATATATATATATGTTCGTACCTAGTAGCCAGAACGCACTTCTCCGCCTACTTGCAAGGCCCGATTTGCCTAATAGCCAAGTTTTCATCAATTAATTGTTTTTTCGACTACCTAACCCTACCTAACCTAACCTAACCTAACTTTTTCGGCTACCTAACCAACCTAACATATAAGATAGGTTAGGTTAGGTATGGTTTGTTAGGTCGGTCATATATCTACGTTAATTTTAACTCCAATACAAAAAATTGACCTCATACCTTAAATTC